ATAAAAATTAATAAATAGTAAGATAAATATGTTTATAGTTACATATTTTTTTAAACAATAGCCAAGTAAATTGAATAACAAAAAATAATAAAATAAGCCAGTGTAAATAAATTACTTCCCAGCACTATGAGCGAAGTTAATTACAGTTATAAAATATTTTTCTATGTTTAGTAACAAAATTATTATTAGTAATATTTGTTACTATACGATTTTAATATGTACTTATGTATTAAAAAAAGAATGAAGGCAGAATGGTAGAGTGTACTATGTGGTCATGATTTCTTAATGCGTTATAGGCCTCATTGAGATAATTTCTTACTTAATCTTATTTTTGAGATATCATCTAAGCAATCTCTATTCCTAATATTTATCCAGCTACTCATAAAATAAAGCTCACAAACTGATGTCCGTAACTGCCTTTATCAAGACAATTGTATTCCCTAATTCCTTGTTTCTTAGGATGCTAAGGAAGAATATTAAATGAAATTAACGATTTTATAGCCTTGAAACTTATGAGCATATGAACCGACTTGTGAACATTTTGAACATATAATTTGACACTTAGCTGAAAATGTTCCGTACGTTGAAACAAACTTAATAAAATTTTCATAAAGAAAAATTTTATGTAGTAGTAGATTACTGAATTTATTTACGGTTTAAAATATCTCGCAAATTACGTAAATGTTATTAATATTATCGGTATTATAAAAGGTTTTTTTCAACAATTTAACAATTTACCATCAGTGCGTGCATTAAGTATAATTAACAAGAGCGCGTCGTGTGCGATCTGATTCCTATCAAATCATCTGTAAAGACTTTTAGTAGTTTAACTATTAATTTTATCAATTAATTAAGACCTTAAAAAATAGACGACAACAATAATTCAAAGAGAAATTAAACTATATTTCTATAAATTATTATTCTATGGAACATATTGAGTATAAGTCAAAGTCCCATGCTCAATAAGACCTGTTAGTTTTACAAGAATGTTACGGACATAGGTTAAAAAGTGTACAGAAGTCGACTGTTGTCGTTTAAGCAATCATATTTTTTATAGTAGTAGCAGTCTTTCTCTATAAGAATATCGGTAGAAACTTTCAATGAAGTGAGTACATAAATATCTTAGACACACATTAAACGAATATTTCAATCTATGTAAATAAAGACCATTGTACGTTAGTGTCAGAAAAATAATTTGTATAGCCAAATAAACTTGCTATATATAGCCAACGGTGCCAAGTAGTTAAAAATAAATATTATAGGTACTGAATAATGGAACTGAGAACTTTAAGACATGAAGAAAATTTTGCATTTATTTTTAACTACCACAAGAGTTGTTATTAAACTCACTAGCTTATTAACCTAGTTTTAACATTTATTCTTTAGCATAATTCGATGTCTCTGAAATATCTATTGAAAATGTTTACTTTATAGAATATACTTAAAATTTTATTATATTTAGATACACAAAATATTAACATTTAAAGATCTTATACATAGGAGATGTAAGACTTTTGCGAGTACTCATTTAAATGAAACTAATATTTTTCCGAGTACTATACGCATTTTATTATTGTCAAAACTAACATACTCCTGATTTTTCGCTTACTTTTCAGCAACCATGATCACGAAAAATATTAGTTTCATTTAAAGGTCTTATAAAATAAACCAAGCCGTAGAGCCAAGAAATCACATATAATATTAAAAACGTATCATACACATGTGCAAAAGTATTAATTATAATTATTTATGGTTTTAGAAGTCCAAGTAGGTGTGGTTTTAGGTATTTTAATATTTTTTTTGTCAAAACCCCTAATACGTATTGTAAACAGATGTCATTAGTAGGTATTTATGAGGCCATTCCATACACTTTTTTTATAAAAACTGTTCCTTATTATTGTACCACTTTTAGTTTAAATAATAAAAACAATCAAAGTTGGTATATAAAAATGTATAGTCTTAATAAACTTCTGCCTTCTTTTATCAGGAAAGAGAAAAGTTGAAATAAATATATAAACCAACTAACTTCACAGACCACGTAATAATATCTACATTGCCTACATTTTAGGCTGTTCAGTTTACCTTTTTTTAAAATAATCTTTAATATTATTTCCATCAACTCATAAATGTTGTCATAGCCAGATATAAGTTGAATGACAGATACAAAAAAATATTTAAACGTATGTTAAATAAAAAAAATTACATATTAAAATCTATACCCAAGCCTACATATGACACTAGGACAGGATAGTAATAACAAAATATTTCTTGTCTAGAATCAGGAACTATAATTTGCTATGTCGAAGTAATGATGTTACGAACACAATAAATCTCTAACTTTATGAAAAGCGATATAAAGTTGTTACACAAACAATCTGTTTTTTATTTTCATGAAAATTTTGCGTACCTATACGACACTGATTTGTTTTGAATGAATTTCAAATTTAAGTTATGGATAACAGATAATGGTCTTTTTGGAAAAAAAAATCTACGATAATCCTGTGACTTGGACATTTAGTCTATGTGTCAAAACACGTGACCGAGATCTCGCCTACGAGGTCCAGGGACGCGGGGCCTTGCTATCAAAATGTCTGGGAGTGGAGAAGGTTGCAGACGAGCGTATAATGATATAATACAGTCTCTCATTTAATGTTTAATCACACAAAACAGGTGAGAAATGTATTAATCATAGCAGAATAATCAGCTTGAATTCTGTGAATGCTATTGCATTGTTTTCAGAGACAATGAGACATGTGAATTGAGAGTATAATAGGTCGGATGGGATCATGTACCTAATCTGTGCTTTTTGATCAAAAAAAAAAATTAAAATAGTATTTTTAAAATCTGAAATAAAATTAGGTAAAAAATTTTATATCTACCAGCTAAATGATAAAATTTTTGCAAAATATTTAAAACTAGAGGACTTTTATAAAACCAAAATGTTACTTTAATAAGCCGAAAATGGGAAAAATAAAAAAAAAAGATTCACGTGTATTGTAAACATTTACAACGATCACAAAAAAATACAAAGTTACAACGATTACAAAGATAACTGTTACAATTATAAACAAAAAATTGTCGAAAAGGTTACTAACCTTATAGTTTCTAAGTGTCTTGAAAAATAAAGGAGTATGATTATATAATTTCCGAACAGATTTATTACATAGCTATAAAACTATAAAAGTGTATTGTTAATAAAGCAATAAAAAATTTGTATAGTGAAAGGAAAAGAGAACTTGTATATATGTATTATAAATACAGCTGCAATTGAAATAATATTTGATAAGTAGTTCACCAATATAACTTAGTTTATAATCGTAATTTACGAAGTAACTTCTTCACTAGTTCTAGTAACACTTATTACAAACCAATCAGTTAAGCTTTCAAAGTGATTGCACCACCTTTACTTGAGACTCTTACCTTTAAAACCTAAATGTTGAGCTCTTCGCATGTTCACTATAATTTATGACTATCTCGCTAATGTCTTAATATTTTAACTCTGATTAATGAATGCTCAACAACAATTACACTTTGTAACCTTTATCTACTTTATGCACTATGGTATGTATATAAAAAACGGAAGCGTCTGGTTTGAGACATTTTAGAATACGCTTGAAAAGCTTTACGATCTGACGTTCGTAAAATGGTTGGATGAAATTACTCGAATAAAATGGCAGTAAAAATTGTACTGTCCATAAAAATATGGCAAGTTTAAAACATTTTTAGTTAAAACCTCAAGTTTAGTTTCTTTGTTTGGTTCCATATAGTCTAAGATCCCGATATAAGGCGACCTTCACCGAGATGTTTATTTGATGAAACATATTTTATATTCAATTTAATATGTTAATAACTATATTACATATGGGTTGCCTCATAAATTTTAGTCCAGGATATGATTAATTAACAATTAAAAATAGATTTTTTTTCAAATATTTCACCGGTTTGTTTTATTAGATAAATTCCACACCAATCGAAAGTACGGAACCCATAGAATATGTAAACGTTAGGTTGCCTATTCTTTTCCAGTCACAACTCTCGGGTTGCCAGGGATAAACAGGTACATCGATAGTAGCATTTTGCACCGGTCTGATAATTTAATCAAATTTAAATGAAAATAAAGATTATTTTATTATGAACACGGTGAAATAGGGTTGCCTGCGAAAAATCGGTCCTAAATTAGGGTTGTCGCATTTTAAAAAGTAAAATATTGCCGCGAGTGAATATGTACGACTGAGAGGTCCCAAGCAACTGTTCCGTACGTTAGAAGAGGACAGAGCATAACAGCTACGTAAGGTCTTCCCATTTTTTTTTTTTTTTTTATTTATTTAAGTTCACAAAACTGACTTACAACTAATACATACAAAATAAGGTCTAAGCTAAAACAGAGTGACATTTAGTTGCAGTCTTCTAGATGCAAACCTAGCATGCTTTAAATACACATACCTTTCTTAGTAATAATAAGAGTACTTGTGTTAACTAACATTTAAAGAAAGAGAGTGTGTATGCTATTTGTCAGTGCAACTGACAAGGATAGCGATAGACGTGTATATGCTGTGTATCATTTTGGAGTAATGTATTATTATTATATTAAAAATAGAAGAATAGTTCTTTAATATTAATTAAATTAATTATTTATGTGTATATATTTAATGTGACATTAAAGTATATATATATATAGTAAATAAGAAGGTTATAACAATACATATGTAATACTAATTTAGAGTAATTTTTTTTTATTCGAAAAAAAATGAAAAACAATTAAAAATGAAAATCTGTTTATTATAAAAAATTATAAATACATAAATATTTTTAAATTATTCAGCTTCTGAGTAATCGGACATGAAACTGAGATCTTCCACATCTGCACCTTCTTATTTCCAGAGACTTCTTCATTTCATTATTTGCGTAAAACTGATAAATATATATATATATATATATATATATATATATATATATATATATATATATATATATATATTACTTACTTACTTTCTTCGGCGCTACAACCCTTTGTGGGTCTTGGCCTCTTCCACAATAGACTGCCATGCGCGACGATCCTTGGCTGTCCTTCTCCAGTTCGTAAAACATTTCAGTGCCTTGAGATCATCCTCGATGCAGTCGCACCATCTCTTTCTCGGCCTTCCTCTAGGTCTCCTTTGCTGCGGCTTCCAGTCGGTCATAATCTTGGGTGCCCTGTTTTTGCCCATCCTCTCTACGTGCCCAGCCCATCTCAGACGCTGTGACTTGATGAATCGGACGATTGTTTCTCGGTTCATGAGTGCCTCCAGCTCGTGATTCATGCGTATACGGTAGTCACCGTCTGCGTCTTTCACTGGCCCAAACACTTTGCGCAGAACTTTCCTCTCAAACACGGCAAGCTTTTGGGTTTCCAAAGCTGTTAGTGACCATGCTTCACACCCATAGGTGGTGACGGGGCGTATTATGGTCTTATAGATAGACAGCTTGGATTTTGCACTAAGGTATTTTGATCGGAAAAGTTTGCTGAGAGAGTAAAAGCATCCACTGCCAGCCATGATTCTGGCATTCACCTCATCTCCAACCTTATTCCGGCTGGACAGTATCGACCCCAGGTACTTAAAGCTGCTGACTCCTTCAATTGTATCATCTCCAATGGTGACATCCTGTAGTGGACGTGGGTTGCGCGTGCTATGAAGGTACTTCGTTTTGCTTGCGTTAACCATCAATCCATACTTTGCCGCTTCCATCTGGAGAGTTGTGGTGTGTCTGATCATGCTGCTTTGAGACCTGCTTGTGATAACGATATCATCCGCATAGGCGGCTAGCTGACTGGTGTTATAGTCTAAAAGCCCTTTTACTCCTACGTTTCGGATGGCTGCCTCCAGCGTAAGGTTGAAGATAGACAACAGTAGATAGGGCATCTCCTTGCCTTACTCCTGAGCGTATTTCGAAAGGGTCCGATATGTCATTCTGTATAGCTACTACCGATTTCGAGTTACACATAGTAGCCTCAACCAGGCGCACTAGTTTACTTGGGATTCCCAGTAACCTCATTGCATCAAAGATCTTATGTCTGTTCACGCTATCGAAGGCCTGCTTGAAATCTATGAACATATGATGTAGATCTATATCATATTCATAAGCCTTTTCAAGAGTCTGGCGGATGAGATGGATTTGATCAGTCGTAGACCGATTCGGTCTAAAACCACCCTGATATTCCCCCAGAATTTCTTCGGCATACCTTCTGATTTCCAAGTATACCAACCCAGAAAACATCTTGTACGCCGCGGACAGAACTGAGATGCCTCGGTAATTACTGCAGACTGTCTTGTCCCCTTTCTTGTGGATCGGTATAACTATACCCAAGCACCAGTCTTGCGGGAGGGTTTCTTCAAGCCAGATTTGCGTGATCAGGTGGTGCAGTCGCTCTATTAGTTCAGGGCCCGCAGTCTTCACCATTTCGGCGGCTATCGTGTCCAGACCCGATGCTTTGTTGTTTTTAAGGTATTTAATGCATTTCTCGACGTCCGTAACGGTTGGTGGGTTAATTTCCTGCTCCACGTCATAAAATGTGATGCGGTCTGCAGCTTCACTGCCCACATTAAGCAGATTGTCGAAATACTCCCGCCAACGCTTTAAGATCTCGGTTTTGTCGGTTAATGCATTGCCTTCCCCGTCACGACAGATATTAATTCTGGGTTGGAATCCTTTACGCAAAGGATTGACTTTTTTGAAGAAGGTTCTTACCGAACCCCTAGTTCTCGCATCATCGAGTGCTTGCATCTGCCTTACCTCACTCGCCTTTTTCTTGCGCTTCAGAAGCCTACGCGCTTTATCCCTCTCTTCCTTGAATTTTTCCTTGTGCGTCGAAGACTTTGACTGCAGGTAAATTAATCGAGCCGCATTCTTCCGCTCTAAGGCTTCTCGACATTCTTCGTCATACCACTCTTCAGGTCGGACTCTCTGTTTTTCTCCTATCGTTTCCTTTGCCGCTTCCAATATACCATCTTTTATGCTCTTCCATTCCAGCTCAATGTCGGATTGCGGCAGTCGTAGTTCAAGCTGTTTTGCTATCTCTTGCTTGTATTTGGTGTTAATCTCGCCGTCTTTGAGTTTTTCCGTTGCCCATCTGATTCTTCTTTCCCATAAAATATATATATATATATATATATATATATATATATATATATATATATATATATATATATATTTTTATGGGAAAAGGCGGCAACCGAGCAGTCGGCCTACTGGATGGTAGATAGTTACCGTCGCCCAATGACATCTGCAAAGTAGATTTGCAGATGTGTTGCCGCCATTGATTGGGGAAAAGGGGGAGTAAAAGGTGGGGAAGGGAGGGAAAGGAAAGGGTGGGAAAAGGGAAAGGGCAACCGGCTCTCTCACTCACCGGACGAAACGCAGCCATTAAAGGCTACTTCACGCCGATTTTCTGTGAGAGCGTGGTACTTCCCCGGTCGAGCCAGCCCATGTACGAGCTGTAGTAACTTGACCACAGCTAGGCTCTACCACTCTAAGATTATATTCACATTTTATCTTGTTTATTTCGTATTGCAAAATTAATTAAATTGGATTCTGATAATGTGTAATTGGGATCTTGATGATGGAATGTAATATAAATAAATTACAACATTTTTTTGTAGAAGTCATATACATAATATTTATATTCTGCAGAAATTTTGGTATCTCTTAGGGTTCAAATTTCATTTCAACTGTCTTTCTAGTTCGTATTACAAACGTCATTTTATTTCAAGGTGGCATTTACGACCTATCGGTTCTACTTAGCAACAGAACAAAATTCAATAGAAGCGAAAAGATCGTTAAAATGGCCGCAAAAATAAATTGAAAAGTTTCGGAAGAAATCTCAGAATGTCCTTCTGTAGAACGTGTGTTCACAGCCGTATATCTCGTAGATATCTTGACTGTGGAGTCTAGTCTTTGTTCTGCTTAACTTCATACATTACCATATACTCGTAATACACACAACTCACATTTATCTCCGACTACAATTAAAAAGGTACTTTGCATGTACATATGTACATATGTTGCGTATTATTACAAGTCGACATTTTTAAGTTCTACATGGGATAAAGTTCTAAATAGAAGTCTTATATAAATAAATGTACATAAGCACCTAATAGCGGTATACAAAAATTTAAAAATATGAGGGGACGCTCAACTAAGGATCTGGTACAACCTGCCAATCAAAGAGTCGGTTTTGAATAAGTACATACCTCCTCAAATACTGTAGTGAACAGGAATTGATAGAAAAACAGTTATGAAAAAACTTAAAATTATTTTATCTTGTATCCAAACAGAGATTTCGACAATAAATCTTGTATAGTACATAGTAGGTAGTAGGTAAATTTGTTGGTTTATAGGGAGGTACTCAACATATGTATGTAAATCTTTAGTAGAATTTGCATCCCTATTTACAAGTGTCCAAGTGCTTAAGAAAAACATTTTTTTACGATTTTTTGTACGCTTTTGTGAAACTATCTGTGTGCTTAACTTTAATATTATAGAATAATATAATCATTAACTTATATATTATATTTGACATATCAGCATAATAATGCATTAAACTATAGTAATATCATTAATGAAGGGTCAATTGATCTGACAAACCATATTATTATCAATTACGTGTGGATACTGTGTCAATTGAAAATTTTATAATTTTTCTTAATGGTTAACATTTTCATGGTATTTAAAAGCACTAATTTGTCGAGAAAAATTGATTATTACCTAATAATCTAGGATTGAAATGGAGAATTAGAGAGGTCTTTATTTTACACTAAAATTAATTTACATATAAAAGAATATAAATATATGTTATCAAAATTTATATATTGCCTCAATCCGATGTTGGAACGATGTGATCGGTTATAGGTTTTTTGGGATACCTACTAGTCAACAATATTTGTTAAATATTGTGTCCCGAAGTCCGTCGTTGCATTGTACTCGTAGTAACAGACGTATGTATGTAACTATCAATACTACTACATACGATACAACTATTCGACATGTTATTTTAAGAAATGGAATATTTCTAAACTATGCATTTATAGACTTATATCATGTTTATTGTGTTAAAGGCAAATTATCATAACATCGTTTTGACACATATTTGCTTACATAAAATACTACTAACAATTTAGAGAATTTTGAAAGTGTAAAAGGTGTAACAAACTTTGTATGGTTGTAGGAACTTAACGTCTTATAAACAGAACATAAACTCCCTAGTCTTAAGCGACAACTTAATTGAAAAAAAAATAATATTTATAGCTAAATATAACAGCGTGATATCTTTATATTAAATAGTTGATAGAGTAAAACGTGTGTTGTATAGTACTAATTGAAAATTATTTTCTTTAATATATTTTTTAAAACAATAAAATACGCGTAGTAATCCGAATAATATTTGTTTAATTTAAACTTATAGCCCATACCTACAACTACATGATAGTCCAAATATGGGGAGGATTGTGCAATAACAGATATAACAATAAGAAATCTTTGGTTGATACATAATATTTTTCATACAACGGTGCATATACGAGTAAGGCGATGTTCGTGATATTTTCAATAAAATTTTGTACTTACGTTACAAACTAGGTAACTCGTTTCTAAGCAAGTGTATCAATAGAAATTTATTAGATGAAAATAAAATAAAGTTTAATTCACTTTATCCTCGTTTTCATAAAAGGAACAAGCTGCATAGTCACTCTGTATGTGTTAAATTATTGGAGAGGCCTATACTTACAAAATAAATATTCAAATAAATATGAAAAACAGCCATAACTAAAGCAAAATAAAAGCAGCATCAGTAACTCTATAAAATCACTTAGGACTTATATATATATTGACAATTAAAAAAAAAGTTATGCTAAAATTATACAACAAAAGTCTTAAACCCAAACTTAAATTTATACTTTTTTAATACATACACAATAGTATTACAAGATAACGAATTCTCTATAAACTAAAGCTTTCATTGTTAAGTTTCTAATGAATTATTAATTCTATAATAATGCTCTTTTAAGCTAAAATTAATTTAACTCTTCAAACAAAATGCATATAACTTCAAGGAATGTTCTTTGTAAATTCATTAAAATTTACTGAGTACCAAGTATTAAATTATTATATTCAAAAACTTAGTCGTCTGTAATATTTACTAAAAGATAAATAAATGCATAACACAAAGTAATATTAAAAGCTGAATAATTATTATATTGAAGTCGATGAAAATATATTTAATTAAACGAATTATTTAAGACAGTAAGTTTATTTTAAAAACTGTAGTGATGTCTCAAATTAAAACCCGTTTGTGCATAATTATATATGTAACTTGTCAATGTGACTTTAAATTTCCTGATTTTTTCTCCAGAATTGTTTTATTGTTCAGCAAGCTTTAAGGTATAATTTTATTAATATATTTATATACGTATGAAAACCATATACATAGCTTTAGGAAACTTTTTCCACGGTCTCTTATTATTCTTATATAAATATGCAGTTTTGATGCAATTTTTACTTTAATTAATAAAATTAAGAATTTCGGATATACTACGCTTTTTTATTTTGAAACAAAACTAAAAGTTTCAGTGCCTTTGCAGCAACCGTGATCGCGGGCAGACGAAATGAAAACTTTCGTCATAAAATTTTACTTTTATTTAAATGAATACTCGTGAAAATCTCGAATATCATTTTATTCAATCTTATTTCACAAAATTTTGATGACAATTCTTGATAATTTATAGTTTTAGGAACATTATGCAAAAAAAAAAACTGTAAAAGAATACATCGCTATACAACTATAACGTTGACTATTCGATTTTACTATTAAAAAACGGCTCAAACTGTTTTTAATAAGGCTTTTTAGCACAACTTTAGGAGACATCATTTGTATCTAATGGGTTATAAATCAATATGTATATTGCTTATGGGATCGTACTGATGAAATAAAAGTTCAAGTATCATTTTCTATATCAAAATGAAACAATATATTAACAAAGTACCCTGAAATAGATTTTAATTTTAACCATTCTTTTGTCCATCTAATATCATTTTGAATATTAATGAAACTTTGAATTTAAAAGTAACGGAATAACAAGTGTTTGTTTGAGAACATCTTTAATAAATACTTTATTAAATAATTCTCTATAGTTATAATACCGTTCTTTTGCTTGACTAGGGAGATTATTTTAATCCACTAAATAAAATAAATTATGGTAGTAAGTACGGAGAAAATATAGTTCGAAATTTATTAATATAATGTTTTAGGAGCACATGTTTATATTATTATTTTTTATATTTCTTTATATTTTACCTGCTTTAAAATTTAATTATACCAAATAATTTAATGAGAATAAGTAATTATCTATAATTTTTGTACTGTTTATTTGTTATTTAAGGTCCATACATAATTTTTTTTCTGATAAATTTCATACTCTTTGGTTTATAATATAGTGGTTTACAAAATCCTTTAAAAATAATGTTTCCTAACACAGTTGTTTGGTAAATTCTAGTCATTTTCAATTCATCATTAATCCTGCACGTTACACTATAGGCACGTTAACTCGATAATCATACGTTTGCTGGGTCCTTCTCATTATCATTATCAAACATGTGATATGTTCAATTTAAAATTCAAATATTAAATATGCTATGCAATATACATTGATACGTGCAGAATTCGAAGCTACAACCTGCGGAATATCGCGTTCCAGTGTCTTTATGATTTAAGCTATCTGCTCTAATTGGATAAGGATATAAGTATTCTATATACTAACCGATTCACTAGGGTGGAGGGACTCAATTTATTTTTAAATCTTGTTGAACGTTTTTCAACTTCATAGCATCATGTATGCATGTAATAGGTGGTAGAGCCTAGCTGTGGTCAGTTACTATAGCTCGAACATGGGTTGGCTCGACCGGGGAAGTACCACCCTCTCACAGAAGATCGGCGTGAAGTAGCCTTTAATGGCTGCGTTTCGTCCGATGAGTGAGAGAGCCGGTCGCCCTTTCCCTATTCCCACCCTTTCCTACCATTTCCTTATTCCCACCCCTCCCTATCCCTACAAAAAAAAAGGTTGGCAACGCATCCGTAACAAAGATGTT